AAATGACATGGCAATAGCAATATGTGAAGTCATGTCAGTCCTTCAACCATATCCCCAAGAACATATAACTGTATTTTGAGATAGTAGGTATCAATAGGAAGGCACAGAATTATCTTTTCTGATGTGAAAGACAACTTGTGCATCATGTCAAAAACTAATGCTGCAGCAATGGCAATATGTGAGATCATGTCAATCCTTCAACCATATCCCCTTTGTAGTCTTTTGTAGTCTATATGTTCTTTGTAGGTTACAGTACTGTATGTGACTATCAACATGAATAGCCTCCCCTGATGTGAAAGCCACCTTGGGCATGATGTCCAAAACAAATGACATGGCAATAGCAATATGTGAAGTCATGTCAGTCCTTCAACCATATCCCCAAGAACATATAACTGTATTTTGAGATAGTAGGTATCAATAGGAAGGCACAGAATTATCTTTTCTGATGTGAAAGACAACTTGTGCATCATGTCAAAAACTAATGCTGCAGCAATGGCAATATGTGAGATCATGTCAATCCTTCAACCATATCCCCTTTGTAGTCTTTTGTAGTCTATGTCTAACTTTTTGTGTTGTAGTCTTTTGTAGTTTGTTGGTAAACTTTGTAGTCTAAGTCCAACTTTTTGTGATATCTTGTAGTCTATTAGTAGACTTTGTAGTCTGTCAGTGTCAGTTTCCCTTTTAAGGCATGCACCTTCCTTTTTTGGTCATTTTTCCCACGGTACAATAATTGTAGCCCTTTCTTTTAGCTTTCTAAATGTGTTGAAATCATGTTGTTTGGTTTTGTTTTCATGGAGAAAAATACAAAAAACAAAAAAAATGTAGCGCTTTTCAAAATCTTTTACATCATGTCTCCACAACAGGAGCACTTCAGAACATAATTCAAACAGATTCAGGAAGCTACAGCATAGGACTACAACTTTTGTTTTTGACCATTTTTGGTAATTGATCATGTGACCACCATCCCAACACCCCATTAGATGGACCCTGACAGGTAGAATCATTCTTATCTTGTTTTTCTTCACTTTTTGGTCAAATAAGGTGAGCTTTTCTTTTGAAGTGGACCCTGAAGTGGACCCTAAAAGTAGTGCCTGACATCCCTTACACCATTTACATTTTTTCTGGCTTTTTTCTGATATTCTGGTTATTTTTTCATCAGAAACAAAGAAGTTTCCTTATTTGGATGTTACCCTGAACCCTGAACAAAGTACCTGAACATCATCATCAACAGTGGGAACCATTTCTATTTTTTTCTCATTTTTTTGGTGATTATCTGGCTATCATTGGATAGATTACCATATTTGGAAATAGACCCTGAACCCTGAAAACAACCCAACATCATCACCACCATCCCCCAAATTTTCCTGATTTTTCGAGTATTTTTAGATAGATTACCATATTTGGATAGACCCTGGACCCTGAAAACAACCCAACACCATCCTCCAATTTTTCCTGATTTTTCGGGTATTTTCTGGTTATTTTTGGATAGATTACCATATTTGAACATAGCCCCTGGACCCTGAAAACAACCTAACATCATCACCCCATCCCCCAATTTTTCCTGATTTTTCGGGTATTTTCTGGCCATGTTTGGATAGATTACCATATTTGGACATCCCCTGGACCCTGAAAACAACCTACCATCATAACCACCATCCCCATTTTTTTCTGATTTTTCTGCTATTTTTCCTTTAGATAAGCGCACATTTCCATATTTGGCAATGTGCCCTGGACCCTGAAAACAACCACATTTGGAAGTGCGCTTTTGGACCCTGAAAACAGTGAGCAAGCCATGGGAATCAGTGAGCACCAAGGCTGGCTCTAGGGCGCTCAGCAAGGCTACCTTCCTGATTAGGAAGGTTGGTCAATTGACTGCTGTGATGCATAGGTAGTAGTGTTGCCGGAGCTCGGCTTAGCTCGGCTCCCGCTCAGCTTTGCCCAAAGCGGGCAGTGTGAGAGCTTGGAGCTGAGCTAAGCTGCCAAAATGATGGCTCCAGTTCAGGCACAGCGGCTCAAATCATGGCTAGCTAGCAGCTCATCACCGAAAAAAGGAACCTTTATTTTAGTGTTGCAGTTACAGTCAAAAACCTTTAATAAATGAATGGAAGTAATCCAAAGGATAACCATCACTCTCTCAAGTACCCTGATGTCTCTTTGTCACTTTTTCTGGCCATAAAATTTGAGAGATCTGGTTACCTGTATGTGTGACAGCATTTGTTTGTCACATATCACAACCAAAAAGTCACATATATAACATATCAGCTCTGTACATGCGAGCTCTTGCTCGACAGCCTTCAAAGTTGGCAGAATAATTAGCTACATCAGTGTCCATATTGAGGTCAATTTTTAGAGTAAGAAGGCTTGTACTGTCAAAGCTATGGTTTTGTTTGTATTGTTACTTCCAAAATAGGATACAAGCCGTGGCTGAGCCAGCTATCCCATCAAGGAGCTGGCTCATAAGCGGGGTGCAGCCGCTGGGGACGCCCAAGCGGTGAGAACAGCTCCGCTTGGCTACTTTTGGCTTGGCTCGCGTGGCTCAGCCAAGCCGAGCCAAGCTCCGGCAACACTAATAGGTAGACTTAGTCAATAGACTATATCTCATACATAGTACTGGCAGTATCAGGTGGAGGAAGAGGCTTACCATGTCCACACGGGAAACTTGTATACCAAAAAGTCACCTGCAGCAACGAATTCCTCTGTTCCTCACAGTGAGCACAAGGAACATGATAGATGATCGCGAATGTACCAGATGTAGTATGACCGTTTTCTTTGAATCTGCTCCTCTTGAGAACCTAGGTGGCTGATCGGTGATGGTGAGATGATGGATCGCGGATAATGAGGCTCACTGGGCTTAGGTACTCACACATAGCGATGCGGTTATGGACTTACTTGGAGATTGATAACCCCAATGATTCGATTTCATCACGAGGATCCAGTGACGCTCCACCTATCTGGCTATTGTGTTGGCTGAAGCAGCGAGTAGCAACAATTCAACAATTCCATTGTCTGATACTTTTGCGACGTTCAAAGTGAGTTTCCACTCCTCCAACCTCTGATGAAGCTGACTCATTTGCTGATCAAGGACCTGCCTTCACCATCCTGTTGAACACAAATCACCCCAGATAAGATGTATATTCACTCTGTAGGCATTTCTTGTGAGTTCTTCTTGAGCTTTTTACCTCATACGAAGCTGATCATTCTAGTAGATATAAAGAGAACCGTCCCCCACCTCAACTCTCAGTCTCTCACACACTCCTTCATCATCAGTCACGACGAATCTTCACCCCAGAAGGGATGTGCAACTTGATGCCCATGATCAGCTCAGATTGTGGGTTCGTCATATGGAAAGGGCCTACACCCTTTTGAAGTCTTTCACCAAAATAATGTCTCCAGTAAGAGGGGGCGAACTTGTGTATCTCATTGCCATCACTTTTACAAGCAGGACACCGATGTTTCAAGTCGAGGTGGGTGTGTTATATTGTGTTATATCTGTTCTCTTTTGTCTGTATGCTTACCAGAACAACAGACTGAAGATTATGGCGACGGTCATGATACCCAATGGTTTGGACAGTTCAACTTGCTGAGGAATCATCGACGGGAGCTCCTCACATCTGATTCACCAATCAGGCTGCCAGAAAAGCACTCCTCACTGTTCAAGATGGACTGACTGACCCGATTTTGCCTGACGGTTTCCCACTGCCAGCTTCAAATCCAGTGCTCAGAACTACGTAGACGTGCAGTGCTGCTTAGCATGGAATGGAAGAAGCTGGTCTGTGCGGTTAGTGTGATGTGCGAACTATGTATACTTACCTTGCGTTTTCTAGTATGTCTGTTCTTCCAGTTTTGCCAGCAGCAGAGGCACATGGGAATTTGCTGCTGCAATGGCCCATTGTGCAAATAGGCCACCATTTGACATCAAGATGCTGGCTTCGGATTAGCCTGAAGATGATGACGACCTCCTGACCTGTAGAAGCCACAGGAGAAAATGCCTTGGCGTCGATGGTGTCCAACCTCCAGGAGCCGGAAGGGGCACAGAGGAACAGTGGTACTTTCAGACACCAATCACTATCACCATCGCAAGTTCCAACAATCCAAGCAACTGTTCACCCCGTTTGTGAAACTCAAATGTCCTTTACTGGTCTTTGGAATTGACCAACTTGTTCAACAAGCCTGTCCATTAATATTTTGCTTGCCTTGAGCTTTCCACAAGCAGAGGCTTTGCCTGTCCCCTTGGGTTGGGCTGGGGTTTTCACACTCATGGGTTTGGTTTGGAGAAAAGTCATCAATGTGACTTGTCTGGAAACCAGTCAGTCTGCTCCTGAATTAAAGAAAGCAGAGTGGCTACCGCCTTGGAGGGGAAAGCCTGCCAGTTTATGGCAATGACTTCTGTGTAGGCGGGGCTATCTCGAGCATTCCTTTGATTCCTCACCTGGATCGATCCTATTCCCTGGGATACAAGTTACAAAGAAGGCAAATCCCCTTCTATTGCGAGATGCTCTGGGCGGCGAAATCAGAATTTTCTTGGAGGACCAGAATTCCAGACTTGGGACTTCTTCGCCATCACCCACCTCGCCCAAGAAATAGTGCAGCTTCCACTCCTCCAAGAATGATGCCACCTTCACGACGAGGTACTCCGGAGGCGCAGGCGCTCAATGGAGGAATGACCTTCACGACGGTGCTGGGGTTCCTGAAGCTGGCAAGCCTATTCATATTTGAGAACTGGTCATCTGTCAAGTCTGTGATGAGTATCAAGAGCACGACAAACCAAGGTGTTCGTGGCACGAGCAACAATACCAGGTGGCCTGCAAGGCCAAGGAGATCAGAGGATCGAGCAAGATCATCTGTGATGGAGCAACCAGCATCAGCGAACAGAAGGCATCTCTTTTGGGGGCTGATACCCGACTAACCCTCACTGTACTTCGGAGCACTTACTATGCTGCTTTGAACCTCACGTTTCGAGGGTACATTCATCCTCTGCTTAGTCTTCTGCTATGGCTTGCTCGGAGTGAATGTTGGATATCTTGGTTGGTAGTACTTGGCATGTCAAGCTAGTACTCAGGACCATCTTTACTGGCTGGCTCAGGGAATGTTTTATCAATGATATCCAGTCTGGTGTTCATGTTCTATTTATTCTTTAGCTTTGTATACCTTTTCTACCAGAGTCGGTTGCCATAAAGCAGAGATAATAATAGACCAAAAGAAGATTCTGCTCAGTTAAGGTAGGTGGGAACTATATGGCAGGATTTGAATTCGTGATTGATCTGATCGCTTCTCAAGACTATTTTGGGACCACTACCATTAGGTAATCTCCACTCTCCAGAACCTGACGATGCTTGAAATATAGCACAGATGTGATACAAAAATGCAAGTAGAGTGGATCACAAGAAATAACATGGAAAGGATTGTAAAAAGAGTGGAGTTAGAGGGCAACAGTCTTTGAAAACGAGGGTCAGCGCCCTCAGTCGATGAGTCAAACATGTACACACAAAGCCTCTGTGCTACGACAGCGCTTGCAGTGTTGGTGTAGGTTCCACACATAGATACAAGGTAGAGATATATGGCTGATTAGTTTCCTTCAACTTCGACATTCTTGGATGTATAGAATTTTCCAGATCCTTCTCAGAAAATAAAAACCAAAATAGAGCATATTTGTGACTCCTGGTCAACTGCCAGTGAATGGGCAAGTGAATGGGAGTACAAGATTCGGTCTGCTGGAGATCAGAAAAATCGGCTGAACTCGCATGGTTGAGGACCTTATATTATTATATCTGACACAGAACAGTACCAAAATATATGTATTTATGATATTTAGTAGGCTTTGGAGGCTGGCACCCCGTAAATAAAAACAATGCTTCTATATTGACGTTTTTTTTTCTGGATTTTTATGTTCCAAGCTGTCTGCCATTGGTAGCGTCCACCATAAAAAAAAAAGACTACTGAAGAAATCTTCATTGACTTGTTTTTATGCTAAGTCGTTGCTTTTGTCGCGGAGCATAGCCTTTGGATTCTATTACCAAACATGATAAAATTTAAAGGAGCATACATAGTTTCCATAGCATATTAGCATGCAAGTATGATAATGTTGAGTTTGTGCATCGTGTCGCAACTCTCATATGAGACTTGCAAGTCAATGACTGTCCAATTAAGTATTATCATTATTAGTTTGGAGGTTCACCTGCAAGTTTATCCATACTACTAAAAACCATTTTTACTGTCTTTGAACAGCCTTGGTGGTTGAAATATTATTGAATCCTGAGCAAGAGAAATAAGATTCGGCAGATCCCAGCAGCGGAAATTGAATTCTCATTGGTGAAATGCATGCGTCGGAAATCAAAATTCTGCCATATAGTTCCCGCCAACACTACTCAGTATCTTGAGCTTCCCTTTCTGACTACATGTATGCATGTATTATTTTAGATCGGAGAATCGATTTACTATTTCCAATTGAACATTGAACATTCACCTTGCTTTACTATGTGGCCACAGCTCATCGTCGATACCTTCAAGAAGGTTGATCCAGAGGTGGACAAGCACTCCTTCTACGGACCCTGGAACAGTGTCCTCTTTAGTGCTTGGAAGTCTGGTCCAGTCTGGTCTTTTGTCAAAATTTGACAAGACCGAGACCTGGACCGGTCCTCACAAGTTGACAAACCTCGAAAAACTGGACTGAACCGATGTCAACCAGTTCAGTGCGGTTTTCGTTGGTTTTCTACAGTTGAAAGACTGGTCTCAACCAGTTTCAGTCTCAACTGGTTGAGGACTGGTTGAGACCGGTTTTGTGACTACTGACAATGTATATAATTGAGTATCTATACTACTGAGCTGGTACTACGACAAGGATAACCCTCGTTCAGTTTCGTGGGAGGGGGGGGAAGTAGGGGAGAGTGTCCGTTGTCATCCATTGTCGCTGCCACATCACATTGTCATTATCTGCCCCTCTCCATCGTCATCCTGTGGCTGTTTTCAAGTTGTCGTTATCGTTATCACCAAAGGTGGCAGAGGTCGAGGGGGTGATGTGGCACATCCGAAGGCAACCATTGGGGTGCCACGTACTTTCCTCCATGCGCCGTCGACATGGCAGGCGCTCGTTGTTGCCATCATTGTCATCTGTGTGTGTGTGTCAAGGTAGGCCTGGGCGGTTGACAACAGTAGTGGGTGGTGGGCTGTGAGCAATGTGGAGAGGCAGCTTGGAGGCAGTGGCAGGGAGGGGGGGATTGTCATGGAGGATGTGGCGCGGTGTGGGCATGTGGATGTTGTTGCTGAGCCTCCAGTGCGTGAGGTGGTGGTCGATGTGTGGGCGTGAGTGTCATTTAGCCCATTGCAGGCACTCACGATGCGTGCGAGGCAGTGGTGACGAAGGGTGGTGACGAAGGGTGATGAAGGGGAAGAGAGAGTTTGTGTTTGTATTTGGTTACGACTTTTGTTTGGTTACGAGTTCCAGTAAAAGACCGGTTAAGACCAGTTAGACTGGTCTTTTGTCGGTCTTTAAATTTCCGAGATCGTGAGAGACCGAAGACTGGACCGCGGTTGCAGTCTTTGACGGTCCTGGGAATTTCCGGTCTTGGGCAGTCTTGGTCCAGTCCAGTCTCAGTCTTTTCCCAGTCTTGGGACTGGACTTCCAAGCACTAGTCCTCTTCCACTGCTTCCCACTTTCTGAAGGCTATATCATCTGTCCTCAGTTCCCTGTCTCTCACATCGAGCCCAGTATTACGGACACCACTGATTTTGTCATCACATTCACTATCATGAAAAATGAGGTGACCATATTCTTTGTCGAGGTCAAGGCTCCGAAATATCTCAAAGACATATATGCAAGAGAAGCCGCCAATGAACAAATGCGAAAAAGATTCGACCAACTGTTCGAGAGTTCGCCCTACAAGATGCATGGTATCAGTGCTTTCAGCACCAACGTGTGCTTCTACCAACTGGAAAAGGATAATGCTACTGGTATTATGAGATTCCTGAGGCCTCCTCCAGCTGCAAAGTATCTGGAGCAATTTCTTGTGGATATGGTGCTGAGGGATCGGTGGGATCTCAATATACATCATGAGCAAGGGTATGTCAAATTTATGGAATTTGTTGAGGAGGCCAAGGCTTTGGAACTTCATGAACGTATGTACCTGGCCTACTTATTCTTGTTTTTTCAGCTCGGTTTGCTGACTTTATCTAGCAGCGTAATCGGCTTCAACTCGTATTCAAAGTGGTACCGATTACATAGTGTCATGATCTCGTTTCCGTTGTAAGGCTATCGATGCCCGAACGCCTAGCTATCTCTACCATGCTCTTGCGCATCACCTGGGCCGTGCCAATCATTATCTGCTCACAAAAATAGATTGTCAATTTCCGATGATTGAAATGAAGAGAGAAATAACCTGATAGGATATGATATCAGCAAGCTCTGCATCAGGGAAAAATAACTTGATTATGTAGTTCTAAATAGCCACAGTATTTATAGTAGCCTGGTATACAAGTCCCCCCATATGTTGCTTCGGTAGTTCTCCCTTGCATTGTAGTAGACACCAGTAGTCTTCCCTTGTACTGCAGTAGATACCAGTAGTATCTTGGTAGCATCTCAGTTTCCCCCCATACTCGAAGGTAGCACTCAGTAGTTCCTGCCTACAGCAGCTACCTGATCTACTAACAATGCTTATTTTGGCACATGCTGGGGATCACGAAAATAGAAAATTG